GAAGGGGGGGTTGAGATAGGGTGATACTAATTTTCAAATATAACATCCATATTTTTCCATGGCCCTATTCCCATCAGTTATTTAACATTACATGTGCAAAATTAAAGTTCACATCATCTCCGAAATACCATATTCAAGACCATATATGGAAATTATTTCCCTTTCAACTGTTGACTGCAATAGTTTTGAAGCTTTTTGTTCTCCACATATCCAGAGCAGCCCAGCTTGTTGTTCTACCTCAAATGCCATAAAGGAAGAAAATAAACAGGATTATTTTAGACTCTAACCTGAAATGCCACAACCTCTGGCCTGCCCTTCAGCCCTTCCACTGCAAAGGTCTCTAGGTGCAGTTTGGGTAGCTGCAGGGTGAAGTCATTCCTGGTTGCCGCAGTCCGTGACAGCAAGGTCTGATCTCTGACCTGAAGGGAAAAAAACAGCATCAATGGTAATTCCCCTTCAGACACATTAACTGGGATGAACTGGGTCCCCTTGAGCCCACTGAGTGGACTTGCATTGATCGCTGGACCTGAAATCCATGAATAAATTTAGGACTAATTGATTTTTCGTTGCAAATAAATCTCTAATTCAGAGTGCTGGGAGAGAATGTTAAGAAGAAAAAGCATCTTCCCTGGTCTGAAACGAGAAGGAAAGAAGAGCCACTAAGGGCTCGCAAGCACACCTGGTACATACATTTCACAGACCTGTCTGCTGTAAAAAACTCGTAAAAAAAGAAACAGAAATTGTACTACTGACACAAACATCAGCTATGTAATTTAAAAGTTCATATGATCATACAAACACAAACTGGGCACGTGAATTCTGTCTATTGCAGAGAGATCATATCAGTCCTTCACAATAAGGTTCATTTTATTATCAATTCAGTTAAACCCCAGATTAAAATGAATAATCCTCAAACAAAGCAAAATAAACCGACCTGTAGCTCTGCAATTAACAGGAGAGGGGAAAAAAAAGCCAAAAACCAAAAACCAAGAAAGCTCCAAAAAAACCCAAAACAAAACGAAAAAACCCACAGAAACCCCCAAGCTGCTACTAGATTTCTTATTGTGGATTCACTGTGAGAAATAACGCACTGTTACCAATGGACTTTCACTCAGTTTCTACCACGCCCGTTCGGAAGGGGCACAGAACCCGGCCGCTCTGGTGCTCCGCTAGTTCTGCGGGCAGCCTCAAGGAAGGGAAGGACGGCGCGGCCCCCCCCGAGCGGTGCCAGCGCCGCTCCTGCAAGACCCAACCGATCCCGTTGGTGTCACAGTGCCACCTCCCGGCCACGCGCGGCACCGCTGGTAACGGGGACAGGCGCGCGCCCGCGGAGCGGCACCGGCGCCGAGGTGAAAACTCGGGGAAGTGACGGGAGCGGACACAGCCACGGTGCCCAGCGTTGCACACGAGACGAGTGTCGTCGTCGGTATTCAAAACCCAACGTCTTTCCACATATAACAACACGTGGTCAGTGTATCGGCAGGGGGGGGGGAACATATTTAGCACATAACTTCCATGGACACATCACTTACACGTTCATACACCATATGCTGCCACACACCCATTTTTCATTCTACTTAACACTAAAATTATCATATTCACCTCCAGGAGATCCCAGCAGTCAGATTAGATTCTAATACAGATGGATAGACACAAATCCATACAAGTATGTATTTGTACAGACGAATAGCTGAAATCCATTCACGTGGCATAGACCGTATCTGTTGAGTAGCAGTAGCCAGTAGTGCAAAAATCATTTACTGTCTTTAACAATATACAGTCTGATACTAAATCATATACTGAATATACACTAAATACATATAAACAATAGGTACATTTACTGAATACTATGTAAAATAAATTTCAATTCTTCTTGGAGCCTCCCTTGCCCAAAATAGCTCACCAAACATTAATTCAAACATATGACCATTCATTTTAAATCCCAGACTACTTTTCTGTAACCACTTACAAAATTAGGTTTTTTGTAAAATGTTGATTATGAGTGAACATACTTCAAATAATAGCACAGTCTTTGAAATCTGCTCTGATTGAAAGAAGTATGCATGTGTAAATCTACTGATACAAAGAAGAAAAGATTTTATTTTATTCGTTGCTCTGTTCTGTGGGAATAGAGAGCCCTACATTTCCCAGGTTGACTTAAAGAATTCCTGTCAATATCTGTGGCTGCCAAACATATGCACTATGATGCAATTTTTATAACAGGAAAGGTCTTCTACACGTTTTTGCACACACAGTGCACTAGGTTCAGGATATACAGTCCTGTGGAACAAACATACTCTCTAGAGTGTTCTGTCAGCATGTGTAATTCTGGTCAGATGTTAACCTTGCTGAATATAACAAAATGCATTTCTTTAAATACACATACACACACACATACATACACTTGATTTACATTTTTATAGCTTATATATCTCAACTTTTCAGTGTCTTTGCTGCCCGTATGCATACAGATAAAAGAAAACATTAATGTGGATTAAGGTACTAAGAATTTATCAACATCAAACCACCAGTGTTTTGCCTTCTACCCTTCTGAACCGTAGTCAATAGATCTAAATATTTTACTGCACCCTGGCCAATTCATTGTTTGATGTTTAAAAACTCACCCAGAATCAAAGAAAATTTATTAAATTTCAGCCCCCAAATGAGATACTATTAGCTTTGAAAGTCAAGTTTAACTGCGATATTGATGATTCTCTTTTTTCTGTGACAAAATTCACAAGGGAAATCCCTATGTCAAAGTACAAAAGCAGATTGCTAATACTAGGGGGAAAAAAACAATGTATAAGCAATGTAGGTATAATACACACACAATACACACAGTGGAAGTCCTTTTAACCCTATTAATTTCAAACCCTCCATTTCAGAACTGGGGCCTGATACTCACTGAACAATGAAATACAGAAGTATTTTTTAATTTGGCTGAATTGTGGTAAACATATGACATTAATACCACTGCACCAGAAAAGCACATATTAGCTCCTTAAAGAGAATGATATTTGACATGAAAATTCACAACTTACTTAAAAAACAATCCCAAAACTTTTTGTGTTTGTAAACACTTCGATCATAAAGAGTGAAACCCATTATTGACATGCATACTGAGAAACAGAAACTGAAGCTACAGTTTTCCTTTGAAAAATACTCACTAGGGTTCAGGAAAAAGTACAAGAACAAAAAGGCTGGGCAGATGGTGTACAAATATCATTACATTGTTTCACTAACAGTGAAAAGAGTCTTCAAGTTGACTACCTATTCAAGGAACGGAAAGCTGTAACAGCCATGCCCGTGCAGAATCATGCTGGATGGGCCATATCTACATGAAAACCTAGTTAACAGATTTCATCACTTCTTGGCTATTTGCTTTTTGAGCTTCCAAAACATCATGAGTTTACCAACAGGAGTCGGTAGACTGTGATTATTTCCTTATTTTCCAAGGAAGTAAGCGCAGTATTCACATACTCAAATTACAGAACTATCAGGCAAAAGTAAAACTGGTAATTTTTTTTTACTTTTTTTTTTTAAGGGGCCTTTTTGGCAGCTTGAGAGGAATAAAAAACATCATATGTAGTTAAGCTTTATGATGCACGTTTCACAGCTTTTTTGTCTTTGATGACACTTTTTTTTTTCTCCGTATGAAATCTAAAGCAAGAGTATTTTTTTTGAGAGGTCTGCTTAGGCTAGAGACCTAATGGTATCACCTAAAAAACCCTGATCAGCTAATCAGGCTTACTGCAGTGATCAAAAACATCTAAAACCAGTTCCACCTCCCTATACTCAAAAATTAATAAAGAAAAAAAATACATAAATGAAACTACATCCAACGTTAGTCAAGATTTTGGCTACTCCTGATTTTAGTAAACATAATTTAGGCAGAGACTGTGAAAAGTTTCAGATGTGATTCTATGTGGAGCATAATTAAGTACTGTGACAGCAGGCTGCTAAGTATCATCAGATTTTTCAGTTTAGACTTACATAAATACTGTTTGTCTGGAAACCGGCAAAAGCACAAATGGATCCATGCAACTCTAGTACAAGACTCAAAACATTTTAAATCAAAGGAGCACAGTGACTTATGACAGTGTTTAACTTTTTAATTAATTAAGAGAGCAACATAGAAGACAACACTATAGCCACTCAATTTAAAATCAATAAAGTACTGATTAACTCAGATCAAAGCTGAAAATGAATAATAAACTGAAGTTACATTATTGACTGAACCAAGGCGTAGAATTTGATGGTCTAATTCTACATGTCCAAAAACTATCTTAAAAATTCACTGATCGGAGATAACAATAATTTTGTCTACAGTCCATTTCTTTGCTCGCTCCTTTGTTTTTCCTCCACATAGTTTCACCTGCTTTGTCCAGTTATTCCAATAGCAAGTTATAAATGGTATTAAGATGTGCTTAGCCCTCCCTAATGTCTTTGCCCGGTTACTGTCTGAACAGTACAGACCTGAGATTTTAGTTCCTTATTTGGGCCTAATTCAATCCTTTTTTATGGTGAAAAGAAAGCAAGATTAGTCCTACCACTATTTTGCATAGCATATCATGGTCAATTTAAACAGTGAAACAGAAACCACAATGATGCCATGATTTGGTGATGCATGAATGGCAAACAGAGACTTTGTCTGCTTGACTTTGAGATGACCATATCGCAGAGGTAACAGAAGCTACAAATATGTTATGCAAATCTTTCTAAAAGAGTACAAGCAAAATGGTTTCTACCACAGTTATGTGCTCTACATGTGACATATAATTAACAAAAATGTCTTTAGAACTTTTTAAAATAGAAGGAGGCAATATGAATGCAAACCACATCTTAGTCTTGACCACAGTCATGTAAATATGTGGCTGATTAGCTGCAGAATGTCCAGCCCTCCAGGGCAGTATGTACAGTGGAAGTCATATCACTCAAATCAAGGACATGCACATCTACTGAACATAGTCCTTCACCTTTTTCAATGAGAAGCACTTCAACAGAGGTAAATTATATAGTAACTTATTTGAATGGGCAAGTCTTTGTTATAGTGGCACAAATGATCATGGAATTAAAGAGAATAATATGGATATACACTGAATAACAGAATGAAATTCTTCAGGAACACTTTCTAATTTTTTAATATTTAGTTATGGCTTGTTGATGTTCTCTTACTCTGTACTAAAAAATACAAGTAAATATACATGAATGAAATCGCACCAACAATAGTAATGAACAGTGTTGATAACAGCAGTGCTTCAAATAAGTTGCCAACACAGATGATCTTTCTACTGTCATTCCTGAGTCTAAGCTCTCTAGAAAACAATGATCACACCTGAAGCGTTAGCCCTTTAAGGGAGAGGAGACCCCGAAAGATTGGTTTGAAGGATCTGGCACATGCAACATCCAAAAAAGTACA